CGTAAGAAAGAATGTACTAAAGGAGATATCGGTGTACTATACATATATGTATGTATACGAGCAAATAAGTCGCAAACATTGAATAAAATTCATTCAGTTGTGTCTGATTAATTAAATAACAATATATCGATAATGAAAATGGATAACTTCTGTTGACTATAGTATGTGATCAGTATACATACATATATAGAAATATGTACGATTTAATGTATATGGAAGTTTATTATACATATATGGATGTATGGAAATTTTAAATGAAATAAAAAATTATTGCGCAAAATATTTATTAGTCATGTATGTATACATAAAATCCAAATATAATATGGTAAAATATCATATAATAACATATGCGTATCTTTATTTGGAGAAATCAATAATTTTTATTTACTTCGTCGATTGTCACTCTTCTGCTAAAGGAATGTTATGCCAATTTTCTTATGAATAATATCAATTACCAGTCGACTGGTTAAAGCGTGTTTGGATAATAGGAAGTCTACTATACCCATCACACTGTGGCAGTATTTGTGAAAAACTAAAGTACGATCCTAACTTTGGCGAGTATTTTATAATATGAATATTGCGAGTTTTTTTTCTCCAAAATATTCGGACAATAATTGCACTAATATTTGTATCTAAACATTGAAATTGTCATCCGATTATTTTTGGAGATGGAGGAGTTACAATCTTGACAATTTCTGGTTTCAATAATGCATGTAATGTTGTAAAAAAGACTGCACGATATTACTGTACTATAAATCTGTGGAAAAAACAAACACGTGTGGCATAAGAATTCATTTTTTGGGTTATTTCGACGTTTTAGCTGGGAGGTTCTCGCCAGAAAACGCACTCATTGTACCTGCAGCCATAATTATCGGCAGACACAAAGTTGATACGAATTCACTTGCACACTTTAATATAAGCAAGCTGTCGCACAGACGTTCTTCAATCCCACTTTTTTCATAGGTGATGCGAAGTATACATTAACTCTTTAGACTTGGCACATCTCGTGATGTAACCGTAATTATATCCTGAGGTATAACAAAGCTGTTCGAAGATCGTCGACTACGTTGGCTCGACTAAAAGCCTTTTAGAGAGCATCTGTGACCTTATCATTCGATGCAGAACATTATTCGATAACGGGTTGCAGCATGGTACTATGTTCGTCTCCATTCTAGATTTTAATATTTTTTTATGGAAATCGGTAGTACAATTACATGTACAATTGCGATGTCTTTTTAATGATGAAACAGATTAATTATCTGTCCGAGGTTCCATTGAACAATACCTCGAGATGGTGAAAGTTAATTTTAATAAGACGTTAACTTTTAAGAATTATCATTAGTTTTGAGGCATCGATTAATTTGTTCGACGTCTGAGGTTGGACTCGACTGATCAGTGCGAATGGTCGCAATGATTTTGGTGCCATACCGTCTGATTTGATGTTTTTATTAGCTCCTTTGAATTGACAAATTGATTTGGCCTCGAGTTTAATATTAACACTTTATTGGCCGCTGGACAACAGTTGTGCCTTGATACAAACTAATGTTAACCGCCGCTAGTACAATATGTGTATTATGCCTAGTGTATTCAGGAAAAGTTGCTACACAATGAGTGGGGACAGACGAAGCATGCGCGGTAGATCCACACAGCGGCGTGGCACGTCTACAGGGTGGCATGCACCTATTGTATTGTATTATATCTGCAACTTTGCGTATGTTACGTCGCCACCGTAATTCAGAATTATAATGTTCACTCGGTAGACGCGCCGCACCACTGTGTGGGACTTTCTGCTCATGCGTCACCACTCCTCTCCTGGTGTAAAGACTTTTCCTGAACACATTGATCATACGCCATTCGGAATCACTATCGGTGGTACAAGGTACTAGTTATTTTCGATTCGACTGGGAACGAATGCGAAATCACAATTTACCTTGATATATTGAGGAGTGAAGATAAACACTTGTACAATTGAAGTGTCATTTTACTTCTAGCGAAAGATATTTCGGATGAGATTTGAATGGCATCGAATGGATCATATTCTGGTGTTATTTATTTCTTCGTGAATGAACGCATAAAGGTCATTTTTTTAAACAGAATGATGTATTTTGTAATACATCAATGAATGGAGCTGGAAATTAGTTATAAAAATGTATTAACCTACTTATTTTGAAAAGTTAAACTAACAGATGTAAAATAAGTAACAGCAACACGGATTCGATCAAAATTAATGGCGTATGCATGCCCTAAGTATCCATAATGTTATACAAATTATTAGCAGTAGACTATTTATAATTTGATTAAAAAGCCTGGAAGAGAAAGAGAAACGCGTGTAATTACATAAGACCTGGCGTTCTTTTTCTGAAATAATCTAACTTTGTCTAATTATATCACTTTATAATAAACGATATAATCAAAACTAAATACACAGCATTAAAAGTGCATTTATGCACTTTAAAAATCCCTATAATGAAATTACTTGTTCAAACTTGCACTTTATATTTGTAAATATAAATTAGTATAATGAAATATGATAGATATTTATAAAATTAAATACAATATTATTAAAATATTATTAACATACTATTATAGAATATTATATACTATAACAGGCACAATTTTATAAGTTTTTTAAGCTATAGAATCCGATTCTGATAACCAAAATGTAAAAAATTAATTTTCTCAATTAATTATTTTAAATTGTTTATATAGTTATTATTATTTAAAATTCTTTATATAATTATCATTATTTTTAATTGTTTTACGTAACTATCATTATCAAAATTGGATTCTATGACCATAAAATTCTATAAAATATTTGATTTCATAATAAACTGTGCACACACACACACAAATAGTAATGAAACAAATTAAGTCCGCGTTTCGACGATTTGTATCCATTATGACATAATACTACTCGAACTAACACGGAGCTTATCGATAGCATGCCATGTCGCAACAGGGCGACTGAAGCTTAAAGAAAAACAAATGTGATTTTAATTATTTTATTTAACAGTGAAATAATGCGTGGAAATTCGTAAAGAAAGATTTACTTATATCTATAAATTAATACTAAAAAATGAATTTGTCATTAGCGTATCGAAAATGCCACTGGCGTAAGTAGAGAATAAGAAAGAAGTTGTAATTCAAAAAGAGTGGTAATTTTACTCGTCATCTCATATCTGCTGCAATAAATGAATTACTAAGATATTTACGAGCCATTTTATTAATACAAATGAATGAAAGTAGTGACTTTTATTGTTAGTTTATAATAATTAGTGGTAACAGCATTGGGCACAATGTTCTTTTGTTTTGTCCACAGTACTGTGGTCTGTCGTCAGTAATCGATGTGGCATACCGTGTCGTGCATGCATAACTGTCCCAGTGTACTCAGCATACATAACCTTAATTTATACCTTCGGCTCCAAATCTGTCTTGTTTGTTTGTTTGATTGAAATCGTGTAATTTTTGTATGTTGCTTGTACTTACTTATTGCCTGTGTTGTTCGTATATAGCATTATGTTTATATATTTACAATTACCTACTTCTTGTCTTTATGTCACTGCCATTTATTGAGTCAACTTCGGTAGACTTTGCATTTCCTTATACATTTTCAATTAATTAGCAATTAACATAAAATATTTATTATACAGAACTTATATATAAATTATACAGAAATATTTATCATACGTAACTGTTACCACGATTTTTCAGGCACTTTCGACAGCCTGATGAAAAATTTCAAAAACTATTGTCATTCGACTAAATGTCAACGTCGTCTTGACATTTTTAAATGGCATCCTGTATTTTTGACTTCGTAAGGTTATTGCTGATGAAGAAATGAATTCAACGACCTATGACCTTCAGATGACCTTAACTTCAGCAATTTAGGGTTGAACTACTCTCATTAGCATTCGCTTATAGTTATTTAATGTCTGAATAGTGAATAAAGATCTCAATCTTATTGTTTTATTCTTGTCATACTTGTTGTCACAATAACACTCATATGACACATTCAACTTAGGAAATTCAATCTCCGACACAATTCCTTGAACAACATCAAAAGAAACGAATTATTGCTACATCTTTTCGTTAATTTCCCTTAACATTATGGTAGAAAAAAAAAATAAGCTAGATTTCAAACTAAAGGAGTGGGTGTAGATTACGCGGAGACCTTCGTTGATTCGCATCGTACTGCGGAGTGGGGGTGGGGGTGTAACGGGTGTTTCTATATGGCTCCCGCGTCATGTTACGTACCCCCACTTATTCGGTTTGAAACCTAGGTTATTTTTCTGGCAATCACGCTTCTCATCGTTTTCACACAATTCTGAATTTCTAAACCGAACAAAAAACGTATACTCGAGTTCAATGCGTAAGCATATTTCTAACTTCGTATTTAAATATTACTACATTTAATGTAGGTAAATATAATGGAATATAGCTGATGATATAGTCATCAATATCCTGTTTTTTACTTTAGTTTCCACTTACGAACGGTAGTATACATTAGTCATTGTCAGTATGTTCAATATGAAATATTTATTTTAATTAAACTACGATCTCCACTGGCTATTTCAATTCAAAGATATCTCTTACAATTGGAAGATGAAGTACAACAATAATATTAAGTCGCACGTGCCATCAACGAATACTCAACAATTTATTGTTCCAAAGCTGTGTTTTGTAACTATAATAGATTGAGGGCCTCTATAGAAAATCAAAATTTTCTAAATCCATTGTAGGAAACTGAAATGAAATGAGAATGTATTATATTTTCTCTTTCAATTATTTTAGTCACTTGAAAATAGTATAACAATATGGTAAAATTATTTTAACGATTTTTCCGTTTAGTATTTCCAACTGCTAGTACCATTAATTCGATAACTTGCTTACTGGCCACAATTTACCACGTTGCTTATTGGCCACAGTTTATTTGTTCCAACTGGGATTCCATTTGTTATTACATAATTAAATTATTATTTCCGTTCTTTTCCTTGTTACAGTTTCTTCAAAATCTGGGCAAGGTAGATAGAACTGCTGACGATATATTTGACGAGCATCTACAAAATTTTCTAAGACAACAGAATGCTGCTAACAGACTCCAGAAGGAATTCAATAATTACATCAGGTGTGTCAGAGGTGAGTGAACTTAAAAGAGATTTAATTGTTGCATAATTCGGGGAGAATACGAACGTATTCTAGACCAAGGGCAGGGCTCGGAATTGACGAGCACGCAATGTGAGGATCGCACGGCTTATGCCTCCTGACTCCCGCCGCGCGTCTCGTCACCCGCGGTTGCCACTTTCAACTCGGAGCTCCTCAGACGCGTGTGCCTGTTGCTTTATATATGTGTGTGTAGCATTTAGGCGATCACCGGGAGCGAGACGCGCGACGGGAGTCAGGAGACGTAGCCCTCGCGATCTGATAGTTGCGTGCTGGTTAATTCCGAGCCCTGACCTAGAGGATTGTGGCGTCAACAGGTTTATTGTTCTGGCTTTAACGAAATTGAGAATAGGTATGGTACTCGCGTCTGTTTTAAGTCGCATAGTTTTTTAACGCTTAACTTTAAGCACTGAACATCGACCCCAAAAATTTCAAAGAGTTAGTTTTCAGATTGCTTTTACGTTTCAGTTTGTATTAACTAGATTGTTAGCCATATGTGTCTCGTTGTGCTCATAGGGGTAAGCGTTTAATTTTAGAAAGAATCGAATCAGCCCCGCCAATAATAAACTATAAACTTTTTATTCATAAAATTTCTAAAGATACAGTCAACGATAAAAGTAATAGGACAGATGTTGAAAATAGATATCAGTGAAGTTTATTCAATACAGCATTATAATTAAATATTTAAGCTTTAATATAGATTATGTGAATAAATAAATAATAGAATTATTTATTAAAATATTTCTTAGAATCTTAAATATCTTAGAATCTTAAAATATAGATTATTTGAATAACATTTAAAATAAATATTAACAAGTCGATGCAAACCCAAATTAAATTTAAACAAAAAAGTCAGCAAATTACAGAGAGACAGCAGTAAGTGGACAGTCAGTTGATATTTTATATTGTGAGACGAAGCAAATATTATACGTGGGTCATGTTTGTACACAGCATTGAACAAATTTTCCAATACTTATTTAAACTTCGTACAAGTAAGATTAAGTGTTGAATAATATCGAAATGCTAAAAACCACCAGCCGAGTTCACGTCTCATTGGCCATTGTTTTTCGTTAATAACTCGTAAACAGAGCAGAGGATTGCATTTGCGCTAAGGAAAAAGTTACTTCACATGACCTCAGGGAATGCCTCTCGTTTCCCGATAGTTTGACGGTAATATTATGGTTCGAGACTCCATCAAAGGCAGGGCCGTTGGATTTTTGATGCTTCAACTCAAGAAATCGTTTTCAAGGTTATATTGATAATCTTGAAAATACAATAATCCTAAGTCATAGTTTACCACAATTAGATTGGCCTCCACAATTGCCCGATATTAATACAATAGAACCTCGATTATCCAGCCTACAATATTAAAATTATCTATTATACAAATACTTTTTACATGTAATCGGCTTAATTGAAAGCAACTCATGTGCAAAAGGATTTAGTGTACAAATTAATAAAGATGAAATCTGATGGTCTAATTAAGTAACTGTGACATTTACACATTCGTGTCTCTTTGATCAATCCGTCTAATCGAGGTTCTACTGTACTATTGAATACGTACGGTTTCACATGAAACAACGAGGCTGTCCAAATACGCCTAATTCTGTTCATAAAATGGAGAAGAGGGTTCAACGTGTATGGAATAATATTCCGTAGGTCTTCTTGTTCAATTTGGTGGTTCGAAACGATTATCAGTCGTTATAAAAGCCAAAGGTGGCTACACAAAGTACTAAAACCATCAACATTTATTGAGGTGCAAAAGTGTTGAAATCCAGTGTCATAATACAGAAAGCAATATTTAATTTTGTGGACAATATTATATTTTATATATTTTTATTATTTTTCAAACATATGATGACTAGACTCCTTTGACTAGAATTCCCGGAATGACATCTCATAATACAATAACATAACTTCTTTAATTTTAAAATATTAAAACTGAATTTTTCTTGACATATTGCTGATAGTTTCCTGATTAAAATGAGACCAAACATGATATATTTTGGACAGACTTTTCATTGATTAAATGAAATAAAATCAATCACGATGTAATTAATTAAACGGGGTCTATAGCATGTCGTATTTGGTCTTATTTCAATTGGAAGAATTTGACTAATATGTTAAACAAATTTTTCTGTATAAAAGGTAGGGATTAAAAAGTGAAGGCATTGTTTTTATTTTAGCTTTATTGTGTAATTGTATTAGTGTACATCGATATGGTGGTCACTGGTTTTTAAGTTTGTCGACTGCCCCGATTTTCGTTCTCTCTCTTTCTCTCTTTACATACAAACACTCATTCTCACACACACGCGCGCTCGCTCGCTCGCAATTATGACGGTAAGCCGCGGGGCTCGAAGAATCGTGTCTGGATTGCTTAAGTTGTCTATTTTCAATTTCATACTGCGAGACTAATTCAGATGAATTTACTGCAGTAAGCTTTGAGAGAGTATTCGAGTCCCTATCGGAAAGTCAAAACTCTTGAAGGTGCTTGCAGGTGGTCACTCATTGTGCGAGTACTATCGAGAGCAATTATCGGTAAAGACTCCCAAATGGACAGGTACCATAAATTATCTGCAGAGATAAACAGTACCTATGGCGCCAATTAATCCTTAACAAATACAGCACAGAATTCTATCCACCTTGAATGATAAGTCACCTTGAGTTAAGTTACCGATGGTTATCCAATGTAAGCTTCAAGTGCATACCAACATTAGGTTCCCCTGGATGTTTTGCGCTTACATAAAACGTATTTCCTTCTCCGTGCATACATCTGAATTCGTTATGAACTCCAATTGATCTCGCCGATTTAATTTTCAGATCTCCGAGAATTATTATTTTTCTCGTTGATTATCACACTATCTGAAACCTCGAACGATACGTTTTCAGTTTTCGATTTTCGAGTAGGTTCTAAAATAACGAAAATGATTTGTATCAAAAAGGTTCGTAATTGGGCTATTTCATATCTCGTGACCACGCTTTCGAATGCATGTGTTTGGTTCATTATGAATTGTAGAAACTGGAAGTATAAATGAAAGGACATTTTCCGGTATTATACGTTTAAACATTCGAAGTTTAATATTAAAAATATAACGTGTAACATTTTAGTTTTCAAATTGTTATAAACAATATTTGTAATTTGTAAACTTAGAAACATCGCATTAAGATGAGTAATGACACATAAATGACATATTGGAGTGACTGAATAGCATCCCGTCACACTACTACCTACTTACGTCAGGTACATGCTCCAATTATTGGAAAAAACCAACTAAGAACCTTTAACATAGACTTACAAATTCAAAATATTATAAAAGCATACCATATGTTATCATCTATGAAGCAAACCGAGAAACCTTCTTCTTCTTCTTCTTCTTCTTCTTCTTCTTCTTCTTCTTCTTCTTCGAGAGAGAGAGAGAGAGAGAGAGAGAGAGAGAGAGAGAGAGGGAGAGAGAGAGAGAGAGAGAGAGAGAGAGATGGAAATATTATGTATTTATTGTAGTAGTTATTGTTATAGTCTCATACAAGTTTCGTAAAAACTGGCTTGTGTAACTTGAATATGTGTTCTCGTTAGTATAATGTGAGATAAGACATAATTGGACTACGAATTTTATGGATTTTTGACAAGAATAACTAGATGCAAATATAAAACTAGTGAAAATATTAGACGTGTTTGAGAAGACATTTGTTTCTATTATGCATAATTTTTATGTAACAAATATAAATAAATAAAAAAACTTTATATAACAAATATAAATAAATAAAAAAACTTTATGTAACAAATATAAAACTGTGAAAATATTAGATGTGTTTGAGGAAACATTTGTTTCTATTATGTATAGCTCATTAAAATGATTAAAAGAAGACAGTCGTTTTCATTCGATTTACGTTTCTTTCAGTTAACTTAGATAATTTTTATTGTACATAAAAATCGTAACATACACGTAATAAAAAATACATAACGTTTGTATTGATGGGTGTTGATATCAGGTAAAAAGCGTGTTTGCTACATACAGTGAGGAGTATATGTATATACTAGTGGACAAAATAATAAGGTACCTCAAGATTTTTGGGCATGAACATCTATTTGTACATATACGTGGAGAAATGATTACACAACAAAATAAGGTACTAATTTTGACATAATATATGATCATTAAAAACCACTAATTTTGGATACGGGAATTTGAAATGGAAATAAGTATTTATTGGGTTGGCAACTAAGTAATTGCCGATTTCAGTTATAGATGTCTCTCACTCCCATTTTTATGATATCCGTAAATGTTATATTATAAAATTATTATTATTATTATTATGTTATTTTTTATTATCCGTGAATGTTAGCAACTGGACAAATTGAATGCAGCGGTCAAGGAAAAGCGACCAGAATTGGTCAATCGTAAAGGTGTCATTTTCCACCAGGACAATGCTAGGCCGCACACGTCTTTGTCCACTCGGCAAAAATTGATGGATATTGGTTGGGAATTGATATTACACCCACCATATAGCCCTGATCTCGCGCCATCGGATTACCACTTATTTCGATCCCTGGATACCTGCCTTCGTGGTAAAACTTTTAATGATGATAACGCTGTAAAATCTCACTTAACTCAGTTTTTAGTCGAAAAGGTTCAGACTTTCTACGAGCGTGGAATTCTCAAGTTGTCAGAGAGATGGCAAAAGGTCATCGAACAAAATGGAAAATACATTACAGATTAAACTTTATTCCAAGTAAAAAAAATTTTTTATTTCATTGAACAAATCGGCAATTACTTAGTTGCCAACCCAATACAATTTCTAAATTGTGAATTTAGAATTATTGAGAATCACTGCCATCGTTTCTCGTACAAGACGTTTACTTTCAACAAGATGGGAGGTCTTCCTCAATTGTAGATCGGTAAAAAGTTTTTTTGCATAACTGTTTAACAATAAATGGATTGGAACATACGGATCTATTAAATGGCCTGCAAAATCCCCTGATTTATCACCACTAGTTTTTTTTTGTGAGGACATTCTTGCTAATGGAAGTCACATTGAACACGATATATGTATAATGTTAAATTTATTTCCTTTATTTCTGTATTTGTGTATTTGTGTAACCCTGAAGACAACAGTACACTCGTCTTAATGCACGCTTTCATATGATGTTAAGAATATGTAATATTTCACAAAAAAAATAATTAAGATCACCTCTACTTCTTGAAAAATATTAAAAATATAAAAAAATTGAGATACACTATCATGTTACTAGTAAGTATGATATTACCAGTATAATTTTCATTTTTATGATTCATATGGCCATTTTTATGATTCATTGGTTACGTTTACATAATTTATTTGAACCATATGAATTTTCCTCTTTTTATCACTAGACTGCGGGTCTTTGTGGAAAATAAAACATCTCTATCAGGAGTTAAATAAAAATTTATTTTCATTCTCAACATTTTCAACCAGTTGAAAAAAAGGGAACAGCATCGTTAAATTTTTGTCTTGCATTTAATACGTTGTTTCGACCTACTCACTTTTGTCATAAATGCATTGCGACAGCTGGAAACGATAGAGGTGTGGAGGAAAAGAAAGAGAAGCGTTTCGTCCTGGTCCCACTAGAGGACTCGTCAGTAAGGCTTTCTAGCGGGGCCTCGCCTTAAGACGAGTGTTCATCTGAGAGTAAAACTCTCGAGAGTTGCTCTATAATTTTTTATATGCGGGACTCCTGCCAGACTCCTTATCCTTCCGATTATTCAAGCCTTACGAATAAGCAAGCCCAAATTGTCCATTTTTGTTTCCGAGCTGATGGTCAATTAGGGAAAATTTACTGTATATACAAATCGGACCGGCTCAGGTAGTTGCGGTAAGGTATTCATCTGCTGGCGTGCGCTGGAGATAGCCGTCACAGCAACAGTCAGAATCGCATGTTAATTCTATTTTAGAATTTCCTTTCAGTGCATTGCGTAAACTGTATTGAATCTAGCACGGTCATTGCAGAATTTAATTTTCACGTTTATGGAAGAGAGACGATGAATCCCACGTAATGACGTAGGATAAATTTTATCCCACGCGCGAGGATATGTGATAAATTTGAATACGTGTACTTAACGGTATAACATTTCTCTGTATCTAAGTATTTTACTGCTAAGTATTACACGTTGCAATACATTTTGCGGTACATTTTTTTGTAATAAATCTCTTCCAATCCAGAAGTAGAATCACGCTATGGTGGTCGTTGGATACAGGATGTCCCAAAAGTTATTCAAAATCGGGAAATGAGGCGTTCCTGAGGTTATTTGAAATAACTTTTTCCTTAGCGCAAATGTAATCTGCAGCTTTGTTTACGAGTTATTAACGAAAAACAGTGACCAATGAGAAGCAAGATCAACTGGCGCGTGGCGGCCGAGCCAATGAGCTAACTGGGATTCGTAGGCTCGTTGACTCGATCGCCTTGCACCAACCGAGCTCGCCTCTCATTGGTCAGTGTTTTTCGTTAATAACTCATAAACAAAGCTGCGGAGTGCATTTGCGCTAAGGAAAAAGTTACTTCAAATGACTACAGGGACCCCTCATTTCCTGATTTTGAATAACTTTTGGGACATTCTGTACCTCACGATCACCATAGTGGTGTCGGGAGTCAGGAGGCATAGTCCTCGTCACCCTCATGTTGTGTGCCGATAATTCTGAGCCCTGTTCTAGATGCTCCATCTAGATGTGATCTGTGACTGATACTTGTTCGTAGTGTCTTAGAAGAGGAAATAGGTGGAAGTGAAACAGTGATGAACGAAGGGTACCAAATTTTGGAGTATTCTACTTTTGATAATGTTTATGCTGTCGTTGATGGAACATTAGTGAATAGGGTCTGTATGTCGAAGCTATTCAGAATGTCTCCTAATTGTGCTCGGATGTTGCGAATTTTTTCAACGAAATGCTTTAAATTCTGAATGTGGTTACCTGTATTGCCAATTAAAGTTTTGAGTATCGATGTCATATATTTGGCTAGATTGTAGATAGATGATCCAATGGCGCCGGCTATGGGTCTTGCAAGGACAGGTCCTCGGGCGTGACACTTTCTTGATGATATTTGCACAGTGGTAGAGCTCGTACCGAATCTAATGATATCGGATTTTGTTCGATGTTTCTGTCGTTTTGGATCTGTTAAAATTCATCATGTGGCTTTCTGACCGCATTAGCTTGTACTGGTCCAAGGTTATATAATAGATGGCGCTTTCTATCTGACGATTTCCTTTGCCGGGATTTGTGTTCTTTAGTGGATCGGCCTAAATCTTGGGCTTCAACAATCCATAGAATTTCTCTTTTTGTTTTTGTGTGTGAACAGAGTTCACTTTTTCAGCTTGCTCGCAACTGATCCGATACATTGCGTTTCATACTTCTGGAGTTACATGATTGCTTAGGTCTATGGATAGGTCAAGGAGTTTGTTGGATATGAGGGCTATTTCTTTCTTTATGCAGCTGATCCTTTCACACAGTAATGACAACAAAACGGCTACAAAAATGACTACAGAACGGAAAGACAAGTTCGTTGTGGCTAGTGTTCCCATTTTAGTAGTGTACCTCTTATACTACCTTTCCTTACTATACTGTTTGTAACGAAAAATCATCAGTTTCGCAGACATTTTAATTCGTATATTGCACCACTACCTATTAATTGCAATCTGATAGACCCATTACTTTCGGATTTACAAAACTGTGTAATGAACGCAGTGTTTTTTGCAGGACAGAAAGCAACATTAGTAATTTAGTCACCCGGCGAGCACGACAATGAAGCAATTTCTTCTAATCAAAATAAGCTAGGGATAATAGACTTTTATAACGCAATAAAAGGAGGTACAGATTTAATGAACGGAATGGTACAAATAAGCGACCATTTACTTTCTTTATGAACCAGTTAGACGCGTGCGGCAGTATTGCTTGTATCATATGCACATACACGAAAACGTGCGCAATAGACGTTATTGTTACTGACGCAATTTATTTTTGAAAAATTTAGCAGAGGAAATAGTAAAAACACAATGCATTAAAAGATACGAACTATCTACGATGAAGTACAAAAATTCTCAGCCAGATGGTTTTAATAATTTTTCTTCCAAAAAGACAAGTATATAAAAGATAAGTAAATTGACATGTCCGAAAACTCTCGGCCGGTGTGTTTAAAAAGAAATAATGCTCATTTTTCATTGTGTAAAACATTTTTAGGAAGAGATGAAACGTTGAAGGAAGGAACATAGAAAATCCAATAAGACAGAAATTTTACAAAATTTAATAAAAGAATGCAATAAGATACCGCACAATTACATTACTCGGTTAATTGAATCCATGTCTCATCTGTGTTGTTGCTATTGCCATAAAAGGCACCAAATAATGATTATAATATGTTAAATAATGTACCGAAAAATTGTTACACAAGGAGAAACAAGCCTTATTTTTTTGTTAAATATAGTGATAGGGAACTTTTGACTATTGTTGATTTTTTTTGTAGTATGTGATATTAATAAAAAAAAGCTTTTCTGTTGGAAGAAAAATTAATGAAAATTATTTGGCCGAGAACTTTTACACGCCACTGTAAGTACAATAAAGTACAGAGATGAACCTCTAGTGACATGATTTCTTACTGTAGATTATGATTACCATGCTCGAACTCACTCCTGTGAATTCTGCAATGAGAATTTGGCATGAGAATTAGGCATGAACGTTCGATTTCGAATAAATCCTGAATAAAGTCAGCCGAAAGTGTTGTATCTAAGTAAAAAATACTGAGCTACGTTGATGTAATTTGCTATGGTTTAAGAAAAACGTTATAAGATAGTGGAGACGATTTCTGCGATGTGACTGATTGCTGTGTCTTTGTTTTGATTTCGGGCATAATTAACTTTATATTTATTGAATAAGACATATTAAATTCTTGTATTCTTTCAAAAGGATTTCTACGGAAATAAAGTATTTTAAAATTATATTTTCTCTCTTTTTTTACATTTAATTACAACCATTATTCTATTTGGCTAAGATTTATGAAGTTTTTAAAAGTAGTTTTCGGCTTTAATTGCTTCCACTTATCTAGAATACATTTTTTTAATCGACAATGTTTCCAAATTGTCATTTTCATATACAGTTAGGTCAAGATTTCTCCAACAATGCTCAGTGATATTATGATCGGGTAATCTTACTAGCCAATCCAAAACGCGAATTTTCTTTTCTCGAGAAATATACTCTCTTTACTGCTTTCGCAGTGTATTGTGCGGCATTATTCTGCTGAAAAATATACTTCCCATTTGTTCCTTAATCATTTCTCTACATTGGATTTTCATTTTTTGTCGTGGGCTGTAAACCTGTAAACGTAACACGAACTAAAATTAAATGATCTTCGACGGCCTTCAAAGATTAAAGGATTCAATGAATTCACCTTAAAATGCACTATTCGGTTACATAAAAAAGAACATACAGTTCCATTAAAAAACTAAGTTCACTCTGAAATTTCGAAAGCAGGTTTATCTAGGAAACATTTCTGACCATTATAAAACGTCCCCCTTGAAGCAGGATTCATTTGAAACATTTTGCTGCCAAACTTCAAATAGGACGCTCTGTATAAGACATTAAAATATCGCGGAGTTGCTGGTTCGCCTATGAAAAAAATAGTTGAAGTGTAAAGGATTAAATAAGTCAGCACAAATGTATTTCTTGATGTCACGACAAAAAGGTTGTACATGTAATGTTGCTGATTTTTACAATTTAGTTGAACAACATCAGCTCTCTCATTATGTATCAGTTTTCAGTTCGCGATAGTTGGCACGTGTTCAGTGTAAGCACTTCTTTCTTGTATACTGGCATGAAGTAAAGGTGAAAATGAAGACGGTAGTACTAACTGCTGCGTCAAAATGATAACAATGACGTGTTCAATAGGACCTTGACTAACCGACTTCAGGTCCATTTATACGGAAGGAGTACGGGCCGAATCCGAGTCGATTACTCGTGTCTCAAAGGTCATCGTCCACTTAGTGAGACCGAAGAGCGACATCAGCCTTTTCATCTATATACAGTGTGTCCCAAAAGTCACTCGCAACCGAGAAATGGGAGGCTCCTGGGGTCATTTGAAGGAACTTTTTCCTTAGTGCAAATGCAATCCACGGCTTTGTTTACGAATTATTAATGAAAAACACTGAACCAATGAGAGACGAGTTCGGCATTGCCTCGTTTTCCGAAATAAACACAAGGGTCTGCATTTGTTGGAGACAATCCTAGATTAAGAAGCTTTTGCTTTAACTTCAAGTGCCATTGCCTCTTTTTCTCCATATTCTATTCCCGCTAAATGCTAGACTTTTCTTGTCTTTTTTCAATATAATTTCTCGCAACATACGTTAAAGGAGATCAGGCTTCCTAAAAAAGATCTATTCTTCAATCTCCCCGTTCAGAAAGTTCACATCCAATTGATATAATACAAGTCCATATTTTGCTGCTAACGCCACAATCAGCCGAAGTAAATCAAGTCATGTCACTGGTGCGAAGGTTTCCTTATAGTCTGCACCAGGTCGTTGGGAATAGTCCTTAACAACTAGCCTGACTTTACTACGGTCCACTTTCCCTGTAGGAGTATACAGTAAATTCCACCCCTCCCCCCACAATTTAAGTTTAGATTGCACACAAAAAAATAGACAATTTATAAAGAGGAGTTATAGTTGTTGAGAATGGGTAACTATAAAAACGAGCCGCAAGGGTTGCATAATTGTATCTCTTCTTTCCAAATTGTCCATTTTTGTTTCAAAGCTGAGCGTCAATTAGGGAGAATTTACTGTACTTATTAGTTCAAACAAATCTGCAGTCAATAACATTTTTATTTGCCGGCCTTTCAACTATTTTCCAAGTTTCGTTTTGGATCGAACTCTTCATTTATCTTGATTTGAGTCCTGCAATTGTTCTTCAACATTTACTTCAATAACATTAGCCTCACAATTTTCTAGGCAAGCATCAATGACTACATCATCAATCCCCGACAAATTGTCTGTCTCCGTGAGTGGGCTAGTTGGAGCTGAGATATACAACTGTGGAATATAATTGTAAACAAGTTTGGGTCGATCGCCTTTTACAGTCGAAATTTTTCTTGGTCTACCTCGATCTGTCGGATATTACGGTGTTAAGCCCTGTTTTAAGGCATCTATGTTTTCCTGTATGGTTTCATCTACTCTTCTGACTTCTTGAGACTCATCATTAATTTGTTCTTCTGAACCAGGTGAAAGTGGTTTAATATCCACCCAATTTAGATGTCCCTTCTCCACCTTTTCTTTTGGATTATTGTTGTCATCGGCTGTACCGGGTGAATTAGCAATATCTACATCATCGTTATAAAATTTAACGTCACATGTGGCACTAACTTTTTTTTCCCCCAGGAACCCAAACCCTATAGACTTTAGCTTCGTTTGAGCATCCTATAAAAATTCTTCTTTTTCCACGCGCTTCGTATTTCCCCCTTTTTGCGGATTTAACAAAAAAATATACTTCAACTACGAAGGTTAAAAAAAAACGTAATTCGGGATGTCTTCCCCTCCACAGTGGCATTTTTCCATCTAATAATTTGGTAGGGCAACGATTTCTAACACAATTGGCTGTTGCCACTGCCTCAGCCCAAAGAGAGTGTTAAAGAGTCCAAAAGAGTGCTAATGCAAAAAAACCTATTCTTCCTCTCAGCGATACCATTCTGCTGAGGCAGATGCTTTGTTCCACGAGAAAGATATCAAATTTTCTGTTACAATATTCAGTTCCATTGTCAGATTGAAGAGCTTTAATTTTCATATTGGTTCATCCTTCAACAGAATTTTTGTACATCTTAAATACAGTCAAAAGATCAGATTTTTTTAATGAAATCTGATTTCGCACCATAACTGCTTTATCAAGTGACTCTACCCAAAAAGGTTCACACAGATCCGTGTGTACAACTTGAAGTTTTTGCGTTGATGACCTTTCCCTTCTTCTAAACGGCAAAGCAGTTAATTTTTCATATAGACAAATCCTACAATTCAATGGCATGGACTTCATTCGTGATATTAAATTTTGCTTACCTAACTCTGCTAAATCCCTTTCATTTAAGTGACCCAACTAGTTACGCCGCAATTTTATGCTTAAGTCCTCACTTTACTTTAATACTCAATTGACCTGTTCAATCTCTTCTTTAACAAAATACAGGTCGCCTTGTCTAGGTGCCTTAAATTTTATTTTCTCATCTTTTCCAATTGTCACTACATTGTTTTTAGTAAATAAAACCTTATTACCAGTATCTGTTATTTTGACAACAGACATAAGTTTCATTCTTACATCAGGCATGTGTAAAACATTGGCTAGGTTGACTGCTTTTTCATGGGCACCATCATTCATCAGCATGTGTGCCATTTCCCTTGCAGTGACATCGGCAAAAGCATCATTTGATAAATTTAATTTCTGATCACCTACAGATTCTTTATTGATGAATTTTCCTTCATTGTTGCATAAGTGGGAGGTACATCCACTATCCAGATATCAGTCAGAGTTTCCTTCATTGCCAATGTGTAAAGCATTTGGTTGTGGCATGACCTCTGTCAGGTATGTGTCTTCAGTACGATAATTACTGTCTTTTGAAGGTTCGTTAAAACTCACACTACATTGTCCACTTATACATATGTCCAGACTTACGACGACATCGAAAGTTTTTTCGTTAGAGAATTAATTGCTTCAGAAGAATTGCCTTCCATGGAGAACCTTTATATGCCTTCCAACTTCAGCCATACTTCATGTGACGTTTGACAACCTATTTATAGTACGCAACTCTGAGGGATTAATTGTAAGAATAATATCTGACCTTGCTTAATTATCTCTTAGAATTCATTCCAGCTGTGCTATAGTCGGTTCACGTCAGTTCCGGTCTAAAAATTCTATTTCCGGTCATTGTCAGAAATTGCAACTACTATCATTCGATAAAGCTTACTCAAATTACTTACCAAATTTGTTTTTGTTTTCCATAGAAACGACTCGCCCCTCCATTTTAATAGAGGTGATCGGTGGTCCGTGGCATTCTGTACACACATACATGGTGTTCCAAGAGTCACTCGTAATCGGGAAATGAAGGGTTGCTGAGATCATTTGAAGTAACTTTTTCCTTAGCAGAAATGCAATCCGCGGATTTATTTACGAGTTATTAACGAAAAACAATGGCGCCTTGCGCCAGTTAATATCACCCTCTATGCTTTGATGAGAAAGTTAAAAAACCTCATTCTTTAGTCTCTTTTTGTTATCATTCTAAGTAACTGAAATTTTTAGAAATACACTCACGAGCAAAATTAACGGATCAAAAAATGTTGATCGAAAAATTGCTAACGTTTGAACTGCTGTAACTTAGTTAAAAAAAATTCTGCACAGATGAATCTTCACTCATTTTAAAGGGCAAAATCACTACTTTTTGATCCTCGTTCCATTTTATTTTGGGATGCTGTTTTATTCTAGTGCGAGACGAAAATGTGAAACTACTCTGATTTCACGAAAATTTTCCAACTTCAAACGTGTCTGCATCGAGTTTAATTTGTTTTTGGATTTCTTTCTATAATTAGATTAAAGCGGAAGAGCTCTCCTTTACGTTTACCATCTAAAACATCATGTACGATGTTTTGTTTCTGAGTTATCGCACTTTAAATGATAACTGTGCAAAACTGGAGAAGGATAAATCAAGGCACTTAATGTTTACAATCCAGGAAACTATGCATAGAACGATGCGAAGAGAAGATAAGGTAGTAGGGGAAAATATAGGGTGTCTCAAAATTATGTTACTTCCGGGTAATGAAGGATTGCTGAGGTCATTTGAAGTAACCTTTCTCTTACCGAAGATGCAATCCGCGGCTTTGTTTACGAGCGGTCGAAGCTCAGTTCCGCTCATTGGCTCGGCCGCTTTACACCAGGCGAACCCGCCTCTCATTGGTCAGTGTCTTTCGTTCATAACTCGTAAACGAAGCCGTGGATTTCATTTGTGCTAAGGAAAAAGTTACTTCAAATGACCTCAGGAACTCCCATTTCTGAGGGGGGGGGGGTAGCAAGTAACATAATTTTGGGACATCTTGTATACGATTTTAAATATACTAATATATTTTCGACTCAAACATAAGAAATTTGTTGATCCTTTAATTTTTCCCATGAGTGTATACGTTTAAACATAGTCTAGTAAATTAGCCACTCTAATGTCTCAAAAAAATTAAAGTTATTTGGTCCAATTCTTAATACTTACTGACATTGAATGACTGTGTAGTGTGACGAAAGTTTCTGTTTACGAGAAATGAAAAATTGAATCAATTGACATCGGTGCAGTAGGCAATTGTCGAACAAGTCACCGAAAAATGCCTAAAAGTCAACGACCACATTGTACACGCAGATTAAAAAAAATATCGAACGACCTCACACGTCGGCCAAGTGGCGGCTTCAGGTGTTTGGCGGCATCTGCCTTCCGGCTGTGCCGAAATTTTCCAGATAAATTTAGCTGACCGTATCGTAAACTCTGACGTCACACAGTAGGGCGGGGCAGATGCACCCCAAACGCAGTTAAAAAACATTCGTGTCTGAAATCGTGTATGTCCAATTTATGTCTTTATTTTATACGAGTCAAATACATATTTACTTTATTTCTTAGTCTTTCCTGATGCTATGTCACTTACGCAATTGTTATTTTTATACGCTGTTGTTCTACGTTATTCTCTTCAAATATCAAAACTTTCATTTCATTTCATACTTACAATCCACTAAGATCTTTGATATTTCGTAAACATAGATGTTCTAGCTGATAATATAGTAGTATAGAAAAATTAGATAACATTTGTAGACAATTCTTCGTGTATTCTTTTTTGTTAAATAATTAATAAATTCACAGAATCATGATTTTGAAAAATTCTTCTTAAATTATATTTTATAAGTTTTATTTATCATATAAATGTACTGACATTTTAAGTAATATATGAACTTTATCGTGGGTACGATGTTATATTTTATATATTAATAACAATATCGACTGATCAGAAAAACTGGAAGTAACATTTTTGTTGCGTTCTTTGAATAGGGTACAGATTTTATAT